GTTATTAATAGTTATTTGAAGACTTTCTTTATCTTATAATTGGTACTGAATCAAAAGTGAATGCTACAAAATTAATTCATCAATATCTTAAAAAAATTATCTACCATCATGATATAATTGTTGTGTTTTATTTTTCTTTGATCGATTACAATAAACTACAACATTTTATTATTAAATAATGATTTGATCTCAAATGGCTCATGGATTTTTTTCGAATTACTCTCGAATGCACCATGTTCAGACAGATGGAACATTTTAATAGAAAATATAAAGAACGATATGGAGAAAAGAAGAAAAAGAAGTACTTCGCATATAGCAGAGTGACTAATATAGCGTGTATGATGCAACACGGGTTCGAATCCCTTGCGAAGCGATAGTCTTTTAGCGTTCTCTTTGCTTCTTTTGCATTGATTTTTGGAAAAAAAAATTTCGCTTGGAGCCAGAGGTACCCTCTCGAGATCTCGATAGCGACGGGGGTAATTGATCACGCTGATTACGAATCTGGTTTTTTTTCTTCCGAACACTCTTTCTTCGGAACCCCTGCACGGTGATATACCACATTTTTCCTCTTCTATATTTTTTCTTTTGACATTTTTCCCTTTGGACATTTTTACTGCCAACCATTTTTTTTAGCGAAATTCATAATGATACTTCAAAAGAGTATCTCTTTATATAAACTCTATAGAAAAACAAGCTTTAAATGCGTCTATAAAAACATCAACAACAAAAACGAATCAGCTCGTTTAACTGAACCGAAACTATTACAATCGTTGATCGTATGTTTTTGTTTTTCACAGAGATCTTGTTTTTTAGTGAAACAATGCAACAGATCATTCATCAATATGAATGGAACATTATTGCTATTAGCTATTTATCAAACCTTCTAATCATAGATTTTGATTCTAACAAAATCTGTTGTCAAAAGTTGTGAGACTATTGATCCTGTTATGAAAGACTATAATTTACTTTATTAATGCTTTAAATTGACATAATACCTTTAACATAAAATTAAAATCCATGTTTCCTAACTCAACACAAAATGAAAATTACAACAGCATGACATCAAAATTCATCAATGAACGCATACATATTTATATAAATAAAAAAGCTACAATATTTATTTCTAAATAGAATTGGAAGAAAAATAAAAAATTTCTCTTCTTGTAAAGTGACGCCAATACCAACACTGAACATTGAAATATACAGATATAATTTGTAACAACAATAATCTTCTAAAATGGATTATCGGCTAAACCAATCATCTTACGAACACCTTAGTAAAAAAAAACGTTTTTTTTTCTAGTTTGATTAATTCAAAAATTGTTACCTCTTTGTAGATAATCATTTTCATCTCGTTGATCTTCATCGTGAAAATATACTTTTTGTTGTGATGCCCTGTGTTCCACTGCTTCTAGTAAATCATCCAACGATGCATGTCGGTTTTCTTCCAATAAAGAGGCAAGTCTTGATTTGAATAAATGATTAGAATACTAAATAAATATATTATAAGAAGTATATTTTTATTTATATTTGATTACTTACACGTTTTACTGGATTAGCATTAATAATATTAAATAAAAATATTGCCATAAAAATGGTAAAAATCATAATAGTCACTTTCATCATAACTGAGTGTATTATCAAAATGAAAATAAATGTAAGACACAAATAAACAAGTATAAAGAATCATCAAAATCACATTCTTATTATATACAATGGCCGTTAGGAATAACACGAGTACAGGTAAAATACCGGTGAGCAAAAAGAAGAAATCCCTTTTATCATCATTACAGTGCTTAGTCATGCATATCCAGCTTCTTGATGTTTTTTTCTTTCATTAACAATATGAATAATTTTATCCCCGTTATTTATTGTATACGAAAGCTAATGAGTCATATTCTTAATTCACTTATTGGCCAGGACCATGCATAAAAAATGGCCATATAATAACTTATTTGTTGTTAGGTACAGTCTCTTTTCTTCCTTCATCTATTTTTCTCAATCGTCTGACTAGTCGTTACTAGCAAGACGATTGAGAAAGATAGATGAAACAAAAGAGGTCACTTTTAATAACAAATAAGTTAGTATGTGACCCTCTTTTACGCTTGTTCGTGGCCAAGAAGCGAGTTGGAAATATGGTTCATTACCAATTACATTTTCATTTCTCTAGCATAGTTGCTATAGAGTAAGAAAGGGTAATTTGACACAAGAAATTGAACTTTTGTCTTGTAATGTTCACAAGTTCTTTATTTTAAATAATAGAAAAATTTTACTTCAAAGTATGTAGAGAAAATATTTCTGTATTCAATGGTCTTATCAGTTTGTAAAAATATCTTCTGGTAACGTTTCCAGAATTGTTTTATCAAGGTCTATTATTGACTGTATGGAGTAATTTAACAATCAATATATACATGCGGAGTGATTTGGCAAAGTCAACCATTTTAACAGGGGTTCCTAAAATCTGATTGTTGTGAAAAATAAACATTATTTTCCAAAGTGTGTTGGAAAAATAGTTGGCCGTAATTTGGTCGAAAAGAAAAATATCGAAAAAAAAAACATCGAAAAAGAGTGTACCGGAGAAAAAATGTCAAAAAGAAAAATGTAGAACAAAAAAATATAGAACGGAAAAATGTCGAAAATAGAAAAAATATCGAAATGTGATGTCTCTGATAGACAGTGATTATAATCACCTATAATCTATTATCATTTTCCTCATTATTCGATTGGATTAAAAGTATAAAAAATGATAACTATGATGAGTATTATCGAATAAAGAGAGCAAAATAATCAGAAACAACTATACACCTGAAAATCTATAATCATGACCACAACTGCTCCATTTTCATCAAATGAAAATGAACCATCATCATCAAGTGTTTCATTTATTCAATCACAAAAAGGAAAATCAATGCTGGTATTAAATAACTATATTTTCAAATTGAACAAAACCACAACAAGTACAAAATACTGGATATGTACATTTGAAGAATGTTTAGTTAAAGTTCATACAAATACGAACGACAAATTGATAAAAATGGTTGGTGAACATTGTCACCTTCAAGAATCAGAAAAAATTGATATACATGCATTTCGAGAAAAAGTCAAACAACGAGTGATAGATGAAACAATACCAATTCCACGTATTTATGATGAAGAATGTGCTAAAACAACATTATCAACTGCAGTAATAGCAGTATTATCAAGTGAGCGTGAAATAAGTAAGAAAATATCATATCAATATATTCGATTTAACAGATTTTTTTATTAAAAGATAGTGCATTTAACAAAGCTTATCGTGCTGTAACACCAACAATTCCAACAACACAACTATTTGATATACCTGATCCATTTTCAAACACATTAAGAAATGATAATTTTATAGTTCTAGACTAAATGATTACACGACGACAACGAATTATTCTATTTGGAAGAGTTGAACAACTGAAAATGCTTTTTTCGCCTGATATTGTACTTATGGATGGAACTTTTTCAAGCTGTCCAGTAATGTTTGATCAAGTTTACACTTTACATTCGATTAAATTTGAACAATGTAATTTATCAATTTTTTTCTCATTCACGTATACCTATTTAATTCTTGATTTAGCATTCCCCTGCATTTTTGGTTTTGTTGCCATCTAGACACAAAAGTGTCTATCAATTTTTATTTCAAGAATTAAAATCGATCGCTATACAAATGAATTTGAATTTTGCACCTTCAACTATAATGACCGATTTCGAACAGGCTTTACCTGGTGTTGTTAAAACTGAAGTAAAAAAAATTATATTTATGGTAGATATGACATATGATTTGATGTTTTTATTTATAGTTTGGTACATCAACGCATCTATCATGTTATTTTCATTTTTCACAGGCTGTTTATCGTGCTATACAAAGATTTGGACTTGCTTCATCTTATAATAATGATGTTGATGTTAAACACTTTTGAAGAAAATTAATAGCTCTTTCATTGTTATCACAACCGATCATTGAAGATACATATGATGAATTAGTAAAAAGTTTATCGCCACCAATAAAGAAACAAATGCATCAATTATTAGAATATTTTCAAGAACAATGGTTTAACAAAGTTCCGACTACTCAATGGTGTGTTCACGGCTTGTCTATGCGAACTAACAACAATGCAGAAGGTATATATTTTAAATTATCTCTCTCAACTTCCTATTCGTATACTTCATTTAGCATTTCATAGTCGTTTCAATCGTCGTGTACAAATTCATCATTCAAATATATGGTCATTCATCAAGCTCTTGCAAGGTGAAGAAAGTCGTTTTCATCATATGCTTATACAATTTAATGCTGGTTTAGGTGCAAGAACAAAACAAGCAAAAACAATTGCTATTCAACGTCGTATAGATAATCTTGATAAACGGTATTATGACGGTCTAATTGATGTAATGGAATATTTAAATGAATTATCATTTACAGTAGCTAAACGAAAAAAATAATATCTCATTCTTCATTTCTTTTTTTTTGTTATCTTCTCCATGACCCATATGATGATGATAATGTTACAGAATAAATAAAGAATATTATGTTAATTAAAATTTTCGATATTTTTCC